CATTTATTTGTATTTTATTTCTGTTCACTCTACTGTATTTGTTTTGAATGGTTGTTATTTACTTCACAGATTCATATTTTACATAAAGAAAACAAGTTTATAAAACAATAGTTAAAATTAGCTCCACCTCGACTAACTACAACATGAAAATGCTTAGATGTTGCTGCATCAGTTATAATGACCCAATCATATAAAATCAGTGTACTTTTGTTTTGCCATAAATATTTTCATACTTTTAGGCCCGTTTGAGTAATATTCTTAATAATGTTAAACTATTTATAATTGCATACATATATATATATGTTACAGCTTGATGTTGCATACATATGTTTTCTTCTGTTAAGAATGTAAATATTTCTGTTCATATGAAAGCTGCTGTGAGTTTAGAAAGAGCTGATTTGATTTGATATGAGAGCGGAACCATTTTTCCGTGTGGTTGGACGCCGTCACGTCCGGAGGATTTAGCTGTGTACACAGGAAGTAAATTCAAGTCAGCCTGGGACAAGTAGGTTGTAATTTGCCAGTATACCAAGGGTTTTCGTCAGTACACAGAAACATTTCATATCATTTGGAACTGTAGTATATCGGTTATTCAAGATGCTGATCAAAGTTAAGGTAAGACCATTGTTTCATCCACGCTCGCGCTTCTCCGCTGGCTCGTAGCTGCTGTTGTTTGGTAGCGCGCTAACACCAATGACCACTTCAATTTATCTTTGGACCGGGGAGTAATTTATTATATTCTAATCTCATTCTATGCTTAAAAACTTTGAATGTCGGCCTGGTTTTTAGCTCAACTGTCTCTTGACGTGCCGCTCTTTGGGTAACGCTAGTACGTGTCGCCATTCAGTAGCTAGCTAAGTTATTTGATAGCATGCTAACCTAAATGCAATCAGAAAGCAGGTTAGCCAACTCCTTGGCCGGTGTAACAACAACATGTGTGCCCCTTGAGATTCTGTGACGCTTGAGGATACACTACGAGATAAGTTAGTCCCCTACAGCTGTTACTACTGACCCACAACTTTATGCTGCTGCCAGGGCTGGGACCATTCATCTCTTACACTATCTACATGTTGATCGACAGAAAGATAATGGATCAATCATTTGAGGGGGATTATTACACATAATGCAAAACATTCTCTGAATCTAACTTCGCCATTGTGGAGTTATATCCTTGTAAATTGTATATCTAGTGTTTGGTCGGACGAAACAAGACGTTTGACGACGTCACTTTGGGCTCTGGTAAATTGTGTCACGCATTTTTTCCATCCTGTTTTGTAAACTAACAATAAACGTGACTCTATAAATAGAAAAACTATTGTATTGATGAATCAATAGTGAAAACATTCATAGATGCATCCCTAACTGTCAGAGATATCCTTATCTAAATATCCCCAATGGCCCCCCTCATGTTTAACATTTGCAGTAGTAATATAGGTCAAAAATCTGATGGGTCACGGAATTTTGTGTAACTTGTACTCGTACAGGTTGTGTGTGTGGTCCAGACACCATGCTGGTGTTGATGTGATCATCTGAACGTTTTGTTTCAGACTCTCACTGGAAAGGAAATAGAGATCGACATAGAGCCCACAGACAAGGTGAAATACAAATGTCTATAAGATTTAAAAACACACTCGTTTGTATAGCGTGGGTTGACTCTGAAGGCGCCATATCATTTCTAAATGTCTTGTTTTTTTTGTGTGAATGAAGGTGGAGCGGATTAAAGAAAGGGTGGAGGAGAAGGAAGGGATCCCCCCACAGCAACAGAGACTCATCTACAGCGGTAAACAGATGTGAGTTCCCCTACCAGGCGAACTATCTCGCTCTGTAGTCGCACAGCGAGACGCTCCTGTTTCTCAGCCATTTCTTTTTCTCAACCATCTTGTGCCCTCTCGCTCTCAGGAATGATGAGAAGACGGCTGCAGACTACAAGATCCAGGGAGGCTCGGTGCTCCATCTTGTGCTGGCGCTAAGAGGCGGCTCAACGCCGCACAGGCCCTGCATACGCCGCTCCTCTTTGTCATGAGTCGCTGTTGTTGCGTTGGGGCCAGCCGAGGGCCAACACTGTAGGTGTCCGTCACCGTCTAACCATGTTTCAGCACAGAGATCTGAAATCCCCACGCAAAGAAAATATAATCAACCAACAACGGCAACAAGAAGAAGAAAAGACGTTCTGATTCCTTTGTAGATGTTTTTTTTTTTTTTTTTTTGTAAACCCACATTGGCTTTCTGAGTTTGACCAGTTGATGCAGGCTCCCATGCAGTACAGAAGAAAAACACTGTGGTCTTTTTGCTTGTGAATAAATGCTGAAGTTGAGTGAAGCGTTGTCCTCTAACGCACCCATATATACACACACACACACACTCACTCTGAGCACAGAGACAAGACACCGCTGAGGATTCTGAAAACTGATTTGTTTTTTAATTTAGAAAATGATGCAAAACAAGATAGTAAGACAATTTACGTAACTGACTTAATACACCTTATTTTCTTTACAGCTTAGTGAAGGTAGTAATCTGAAACAGTTTGGTAGAGATGAAAATCCATTTAGAGCACCATTGTTGGAGTGTTTTTAACAGGTCTGTGATCAAGAGACGAGTCATCACGTTACTGATGCGATACACCGGCTCCATCTAAAAATGTTTTTTTACAGTGTTTTCCTTCTACAACAAAGGGTTGTATTAAGAGTGTTCCAAAGATTTATCATCTAATTGTGCTTACATACTTAAAATCTGAAATATACATCTTGTACTGCTATACAGTCTTCAGAAAATAAAATAACTCCGGAGCCTCTGTAAACAGTAGGCAGAAGCAAGCTTGAATGGTAATGATAAAAACCAAATCTAGTTACATTTTTTTGTACATGAGAAAAAGCTCAAAGGTGGAGGGGATGAAAGGCACAGGAGAACTAATTAGGAGGATTCTCTGAGCTGTTCGGCTGAATGAGGCAGGAAAAAATATGCAACGCATGAGGCTGTGTTTAAAATCCGACACCCATCAATCTCAAATTCACATCCCGTCGTTTGCCAGTAAAATCAAGTGTACCGGATTAGAGCATTTCATAATAGTAATGGTTCATTAGTAAGTGATTAGCTGCTTTTCAACAAGGTGAGGCTGGTAAAGGAAATCACTTTAAAAGGGAATAAACACGAGTGCTATGGGAGGACACTTGGCCGTAAAAATACATCTTCATGAAGTTAAACAACTACAATCAGCTGTAGTAGTTGAAACAAAAAAGAACCTGGATGGTACAAAGTTCTACGGGCAGAAAAGTCATTACTTCATATTTTAGTATATTATAAGGGCACATTCCAAACTCTTTGCCATATTAAATAACACCATCAGTCACATTTACACTTGGACTCCAGAGGAGGGGCGAACTATGAATTCATGTGAAAGAAAAGTGTTCTTCAAAACAAAATCAGGAATTTCAGAAGCAGCAGCTTGGATGTTTTAGTGTAGAGGGTGTGACAGCAGAAAAAAAAAACGTGGTCAGTGAGGGGCGATGCCTGCTGACTCATCCACAGGCTGTTGTCATAGTCCCATGTGAGGGAATGTCCGCTGTCAGTGGCCGGCGGCATCGAGTCCGGGGAACGAGTCGATCTGGACCGTGTCCTGAAAGGCCGATGCTTGGCGGGTGTAAGATATGCGGACCCTCATCTTCAGGTTCACCTGGAGGAGGAATGAGGATTTAGTAGAACTGGCTCTGGGAGCAAGAAGACTAGATTAGGAACTGGCTGATGGCGCGCACACACACACGAGGTGTTGTTACTGCCAAATACAACAACAGGTTTGTGGGAGTTTATGTGACAGTTTGGAGATAAAGTGTGAAGATTGTAATGTTCTAATTTTCCAAACTGATCCAACGTTATTTTCTCCCCTGCTGGGTCACACTCCTGATTGTCCTGACGAATGGGAATCATAGTTTTGTGTCCGTGTGTGTGTGTTGTCAAACGCACCTTGTTTGGGTTGTTGAGGACCACCATCTGGATCACCTTAGCTGTGCCTCGTGCAGGAAGATAGTCCCCACTGGGAGCCTTCATGTGTAACTGGACACTCTGGTAGGAGGGAGAGGGGGGACAATGTAAACAATGAGGGGGGGGGTTAGCTTGTCAAGCTATGTGAGGGCATGAACCACCATGGATAGAGAACCAGATCTGTGCGCTATTAGAGCATGAATAGAATACGTTAGCGAGTGGCCCAACAATTAGTGGCCACATACATACACATGTCTATATCACTAGTTGAAATGGACGCTATGAACACGAGCATTTGTGATCCGTCCAGTGGTAGTTAATACATTTAATAGCTTGCAGCTATAGACACCGCCTGTGTCTCGGTTTAACGAGTGACCATCAGCCTAATGCATCCGTGGTTGCTCGTAGTGACGGCAGATGTTGGAAACCTGGTTCCTTATAAAAGCCTTCAATCACTTTTAAATACATACCCATCTGTGTTTTACTATCTATGCCAACCATTTACGCAAGTTACAATGAGCAACCGCGGACGCATTTGACGTAAAAGGCACCAGTTAACACGGTCACTTGTTAAACTGAAACATCTGTTTGCTGTGAAATGGTTGTGGTCCTCTCTCTGACATCTGTGGAACTTGTGTCCGCTGTACAGAAAATGCAACAAGCAGACATTTTGATGCTGGTGACGGTCTTAATTCAACGTTTAAAGCTTGATAGCTCGTCTGGATGGCTGGGGGGGGCACTTCCATTGGCAGCATGCATGTGTGTGTGTTTTATCACAGGAAGTGAGACAAACCTTGGGCACCGCAGCCTGCAGGGTGAAGCTGCTGATGTCTGAGTCGGTGGAGTTGGAGGCTGTCAGTGTGACCGTCAGGCCCGTGTCTGACTGTTTCTCACAGCTTAGTGTCAAAGTCACGCCGCCTTTCTCATACACCGGCACCGCGGGAGCTACGGAAAAACAGACGTTATAAAACGGTGCATTAGTTTAAATAAACCAATATAATAAAAATAAACAAAGCAAAAAACATCAAAACAGGGGGAGATGTAGGGAGATTATCTGTTGGTTCCAGTCCCCCAAACTTTGCATTCTCTAGTTTCATGTTCAAAATCAGTTCCTCTTTGGTGTTCCTTTCGGTCTAAACTAGTGTGTGTGTGTGTGTGTGTGTGTCTGAGGGTCACACCTGGTGCTAGCAATGCAGGCTCTAACCCTCCCAGCAGATCCAGGAGGTCTCCTCCGGCAGTGCTAGCTGCATTGATGGACAGGCCGGGTGCTGGGCTGGGCTGCAGAGTCTCCTCAGAGCCGCCCAGCAGGCCCAGGAGATCACACACCTGAGGAGAAACCCACAGACGGGAGGAGGACATGAGAACACGTTGCTCCGTATATTCAGAGCAAATACTTGTAAGGACAGGAAGGCCGTGTGAACGTTATTTGAATGCACCCATATCTGAACGCTAACTGAACAACAAACATACTCGTGAAACCAGAAAAAAGAAAAAGGACACCAGTGAAAAGCTTTTGAGATGAAACTTCTGTGCCTTTAAGTTGAAAAGTCTACATTTTGCCTGGTGTGTACTTTTTCTTACTTGTAGTACAAGCTGCAGCTGCACTTACACAGTATGTACTGTTGCATGCAGTATGTACTGTTGCATGCAGTATGCATTCCATTGGGACATTCTACTTCCTAATAACAGGGCCCCTTGAACTTCGACCCTCTTGCTCATATATCTGCAGCGCACTGAATCGTGGGTCGGAATAGCCAGAAAAGCATGCTGGCTTGCATACTGCAAAAAGCAACAGAATGTGGTAGAACATCCTGGTATCTTTGGTCTACTGCATTCGACACACTATGTGTGTATCTGTGCCGATGTGTTGTACCTGGTTAGCAGGCTGCTGCGGCAGCAGCGGCAGCTCTCCCTGCTTGATTTTGGCTGTCGGGATGTCCCTGATGGCCTCCCCTGTGAACTCTCCGTTGGTATGACCCGGGGAGTTCTTCTCGATCACAGGCATCCTCTCCAGCACTGCTGCCCTGCAGAGAGAGGGAACATGTCAGCTCTCTGAGGCCAGAAAGAAAAGAGCTGCTTCTACCGTCGCTAAAACTGTAAACGCAATGTAGAAGAAAATAGTTCTACTTCTAGTTTTCCAGGGGGAAAAAACAACAGAAACATAGTATTGACTTCTTCATTGCATACCTCATGTGGTCATATTTTTTGAACAGAGCATTGTATTCAACTGCCCTCTGCTGGAGCTCCACATCTATACAGCTGCCGTAGATGCTGACGATGCTTCTGATGCGACTGGCAGGGGTGAAGTGAAGAAGACAAGCAGTTAGAGGACTACTGAGACATTACTGCAACTCGGACTGTGACCGTGTGTTAGACCCTTGAAGCTCTTTGTCCAATCCTCAGTCCTAAACTTAAACCGGTGCTGACAACTATACGAGTTATACACCAAATAAATCAAATAAATCCGTCAGACTTTAAACCGGCCACAACGGCCTGTTCCTGTGTTTCTTACTCCACGTTGTCCGTGATCCGCGTGCTCAGTTTCATGGTGGCGGTGAGAGCAAAGCCTCTGGTCACCGGCGACGACATGTGCGACTGCAGGACCGTTTCCAAGGCGTCCAGGGCGTCGTCCTCGGTGACCTGATGAAGAGACGCCGTCACTACAGGGTCTGAAAGATGACATCTCTTTTTTTTCAAGATAAAACCAGAACTAGGGATACAAATGGCACGTTGTAGCCTCTGCTGAATGATGAAGAGGATTTGAGAGGACCTGAGAAGTGTTTCTTTGAGTCCTACCTGAGCACTACTACTGGTTTTGTCTGATTCTATAGAGCTGTGTGGGTACCTGAACAGGCTCGGTCTCCTGACAGTCTCCTCTCAGCAGCAGGTCTCCATACTCTCCGATACACCAGCACGCCACCTGCACCAGCGATTGCTGCACACACACAAAATGTTACACTCACACAACTACGTATCCACAAAACACACATTGTGGAAAGAACATTTTCAGAAAGTAATGCTTTCACTTTTGGGGGGCATTGGCTTGCTGGTCAGCATAGCAGTTTGAAACATCAGAGTCACATTCTCTTTGTGGTGGAAGACGGGAAACTGCACCACACTGCAGAGGAGTACATGGCTGCTCATCCGACTTGGTTCCAAAAATAAACCTGGCTGCATCAGCCGATTTTAAACTGAGAGCCTTGCTATTATTCTCAGACCAGCTCTGCCTGCTTCCACACTGGCACAGACATTTCTTCCAATGAAAACGTGTGAACATCTCTCGTGCTTTGCATATTGTGTTGCGTTAAAAAATGATCTTCAATACCCCTCTGATATTTACACAAGAATGGATATTAACCAAAGGGACTTCTGTCTAAAAACTCAAAATAAATGTTAAGATGTTATGCAAAATTGTAATCGTCCTTTTTGTCTAGCTTAACTGTGACATTGATTCACATCTTGCCGCGCTGATCTCAGACCAGTTGTAGCATCACGTTCTAAACATAACTTTGATTGTCTTATTGACAAAAGATATCTTTTGGATCCGAGATGCGGTCAAAGGCAGGAAACATGAGAGTCTGAGCTCTGCACGTTCTTCACGTTTCATTGGTAGCTTTTCTTCTCTGAAGTGTGAAGTTTGTTGGCAAGGTTACTAGTGAGGTCAAGTTTGTTCTTCCAACCAACAATTCTGTTTCCTGTGGTTGCATTTGTTTTAATTTGCTTGAAAACAGAACTGCATTCTTGTATTTATGCTACTTAAATGGCACTTCAATGAACTGAGGTACTAAAATATAAAATAACCTTTTACAGTAATCTTTCTATGACGAATCTAATCTCACTTTATCGTTGTTTGTTGTTTGATAAGGGATCAGCAGGGAGAAACCCAGAGACAGATGTTATGGATTATGTTGTTTTAATTCACTGAATGAGTAAGCTGACCAACAAAACAATCGGCCTAAAACTATGAAGTGTTTCTTTAAGAGCAGGAAATGCCCAGACAGACAGACAGACACACGCACACACACACACACACACACCTGAGAGATGTCCGAGACCAGAGCGCGGTAGAGCTTGTGGACGGTGTAACAGTGCAGCTCTGAGGCGTTGGTGATGAGCTGGATCAAGTTGGGCACCGTCTCGTCTCTCACGTCGCCCCCTGCCTGGAAGAGCAACAGTGTGTGTCACACACACACACACACACACAAACACACAAACACACAAACACACACCCCAAACTCCATTAGCGAGACAGCTGGCCCATGTATTTGGGTCGCCCTACATTCCCTCCCAGACACAATGACCTCACTTGGAGACTTCCATCCCAGTTTGTTTACATTATAAAGGACATTAACCGATAGAGTTCAAGCTTTCATTCACGCCACGTCTCCACCATTACCCTTTCTGTACACTCCAACCTTTTCAGATAGAACAGTGCAAAAGGATTAGCTTTAGCATTAGCTTTTACACCAATGTCATTTATTCCCTTTCCCAAATGGAGCACAAAATGAAAAGTACAAATGGAGGAGCATTAGTACAGGATTAATGGCCTGTTCAGGAGCTGGGGCTGAACGTATGAAAGTTTGTACAGAGGACCAACACACTGTTTACTGCTAAATGTATTGTTTACATAAATGTATATTTAGTATCCCACAGCATACACGTGGCCCCTCGTCCACGGCAGTGGACGACCTAAAAATGAGTCGTGAGTGAGAGAAACCCATGTGAGAGAGTGGCTCGGGCTGTATTTACCGTGATGAGGACATGCAGCATGGTGTCAATGTGCCAGCGCTGGGAGGGAGCATACCTGACAGAGACAGAGAGACACACACACACACACACACTCTCAGTGGTGCTTGAGGTTGAGTCAGACACACACACACACACAAATCGATCTGCAAATCCATCCACAGAAACGAAGTGCATCAAGAGGTAGAGTGTGTAGAGCAGAAACACAAAAGACTATTCATCGTCTCAGAGCCACTTAAAGAGACAGGGCCGTCGTAGAGAGCGGAGACAGACACAGAGTGGGACATGAAGCCACACATATACAGAAGCACAGAGACTTTTCTTCTTTTTTGTTTTACTTACAGCCTAAACACTTCAACAGCTGCGTCACATTAAGTGTATTCACATGCACATGAGTGTGCGTGTGCTCCCATGCGTGCGTGGGTGTCCGTGCGTGTTGCCGTGTCACTCACCTCTCTGCGGCGTTGAAGATGCCGCTGGCAGCATGCGACCTGAGCTCAGGGGGGCAGGAGGAGAGGAAGAGGAGCAGCTCCTTCATCATGGAGCGGATGTTGGAGGCCGACACCAGCGCCAGGGAGAGCTCCAACGAGCGGCTGGAGAGGATTAAACGTCGGTCAGTCTGTATGCAGCCTACGTACCGGCCCTTTAAAAAACGAGAGTCTGGTGCCGTTTCTCTCTTAATTAAAAATCTAAATTTAGACTGCTGCTCCTTCTGTGTCGACGCAGCCGAGGCCAGCGTGCTCTCGACTGACCGGACGTAGCGGTGCAGTTCAGCAGGTACAGAAAATGTTCAATCCCTCTGCATCCACAATGTCGTGCTGTTGGAGCAGGAAGACACTCCCATGTCAATAGAACCCACTCTGCTGACGTGCTGTTGAGCAACACACTGACCTGTTAGTGGCCACAGGTTGCCGTCTGGTATTTGAACTTCCTGATGATCATGTGAGGAGAAGCTACCCACAGGGATCAATTAGGTATTGCTCTATTCTCCTCATTAGTGGAGCTGGAAATCACTGGGATGCTCACGGTGTAAAGCTATTCTGTTACATACTTCTAGAGAGCTTTCCTACATTTAGGAAGATTAATTGATTCCCACTTCGAAACTAACTGATCCCATTTGAACAAAACATTTGAAAAAACACAAATTAGGGGGTGACTTTGGAAAAGCACGAGTGTCAAGTCCACTGAACATCTGTGACGTAACGGCTGAAAGTTACCGCTTGACGGACGCGTCCTGGTCCTTCAGGCAGTCCACTATGGTTCCCCGGTGGCGCTGCACTGCATTGTGGTCCGTCCCAACGATCTTTTGAAGAGACGTCATGGCAATGTAGCTGGACACAAATATAGAACAGCCAGATATGAAAAGGTGTCATGTTTTCAGCTTCATACTGCATTATGGTTGAAGAGCAGTGTAGCAGAAAATATTCAACAAATAAAAAGCTTTCACAAAATGATTTCTGACCGTCGGCTAACAATCAAGAGCAACTGTCGGGGCGCTGTGTAAACTTCACTTTTTCAACTCGGCGAGATCAATAATTCATCTTTCCACTTGAAATGTCCCACGGACTGTTCAAATATTCATGTATGCACAGGAGACACGTTATCTATCCAGGCAGGTCCCGCAGGAATAAAAGCCATCCTATTACTGTCACACGGCCACAGAGAGACTCAGGGGCCCTGCAGGTAAAACACACAGGCTCACCTGTCCACACAACCCCTATTCCAAAAACAAGAAGAGCATAACAAAACCCCAAAAAGAACCTGTAACACGTCTCCACACTGTCTGATGATAAAATGACAGGGCCCCAAAATTGAGAGATCAGCATGAACAGACAAAACAGCGGCCTTCTGTTGTGGCTCTGGGGGAATGACTCCGGGGAAAGTGATTAGTGGGCTCAGACTGACAGCAGCCTGTTGGGAGGTTTCTCTCTCTGGCTGCAATGAGTTTGCCGTTGGCCTTGTGGAATGGGGGGGGGGGAGGTCAAATGAGGCTGAGAGGAAGGAGGGAAGGACAGGGAAGAGGTGACAAGAGAACGAGACGCGGGAATGTGGAGGAGGAAGGAAAGCAACACTAACCGAATGTTCCTGTCGTTGTTCAGGAGGAATCTTCCCAGGATGTTCACAGCCAGAACCTGGAGCGCAAGTGAAATGAAGCGTATGTTTTGTATGCATTCATACAGTAATTAGGTAACACAACACATCCCTGTGTATGAAGGCAGTTAAACACGGTGAGGAGTGCTGCTAGTCTCTCACCCTGAGGCCGCTCTCTGACTTGATGTCCAGCACGGTGAGAACAGTCTCATACAGCACCGCGTTGCCCACAGTCTTAGTGCTGTCAGTGTTGGTCGCCACCTGTACGGCAAGTCAAACACACATGCATGCATGTATTTGTAACAGGTACCAAAGATCTGTGACAGTTTGTTTTTGAATAAAGAATATTTTTTGCTTCGACAGAAGCGATTCAAGCTCTTAAATTTGCTGATTTTAACACTCAGTTTGGGGTAAATCTTTACAGAGGAAGACACTCTCGCACACAGGAAGTGTTTGTTTGGAATAAAAAAAGAAAAAACTGAGTGTGGGATTGGGTAGAAATGTAAAAATTACAAAAAAGATACATTTTCACTATTTCTGAAGGTGAACATTGTACCTGGGCTAGCAGGTCGTTCATTGCGTCACTGGCTCCTTCGTTGTTGCGGCCGAGGATTCTCAGCAGTCTCAAGATGCGCACCTGAGGACAGAGACCGGAGAGAGGGAACAGACGGACTACAAGTTACTTTGGTGCACGGCATCAGCGAAAACGGCTGGAAGGGAGATACGTCTGTGTGTGTGTGTGTGTGAGAGAAAGAAAGAAACTGAAAGTAAGAACAATATAAACTATTTATTAGCAGTCTGTACTTATTTAAGACTGAATCTGAGCCATTAAGAGAGGAGAGTGACAATGATTTATTACAACAGATAAGACGTCTCCAATGTTATTGAAGTGCTTTTGCTCTATAATCAATGTGAAGTACCCATTTAACTTAATTAACCTAATTAAATCGAGAGATATGATGCTGCAAAACGATCCCACGAGTCCAGACTGACCTGCAGGAAGGGATCGCTGATTCCTGACACGTCGTGTTCTGGAGAATAACCCGACAGGACCAGACCTTTCATGATCTGAACCAGATCCGGTACCGTCTGTAAATACATCACGCAAACACATGACAGCATACCCGGAGAGATACCGAACTCATCAGATGTGTGTGTGTGTGTGTGTGTCCATCTTACCTTTCTGAACCGCTCCAGTGTTTCTGGATTGCGCTCACACAGCTCAATGATGAGCACCACGGCACCGTGCAACACACCTGGGGAGAAATGGGAGTAATGGTTGGAAAACAGTGTTTGAGAGGAAAGCTCCAAGGTGAGAGTCATTTAGATCCACTCACCGTGGTTCTTCTCAGAGAGGAGCGAGCGAGCGGCGGGCGCAAAAAGCTCCCCCAGCTCGTGGACTTTTCTCACGATGTGAACAGCACAGAGAGCAGCCTGGAAGAAGAGCGGAGCACTTCATCAGCACCGTTACATCATTAGTACATTGAGAGTTTCTCCTGCTGATGAAAGATTCAAATGTGTGGTTAACAACTGTTTTAAACTGGATGAACATCATCCCCAACACTAGAAATGAGCAGGACTTAAACTATGTTTAGGTCATATTGTTTCTGAGAGAAGAGGCCCAACATTGCCTCTTAAATACAAAAATAAATTCTTCTTACATTGTATTAAAGGGTAACTTTGGTGTTTTTCAACCTGGAACAAGTTCTTTGTGTCTAACTAACTAATGGGGACAAGATTTGTTTTTAATTAGTACAGTATTGAGGGAGCACACAGCAGAAGGCAGTCGCTAAATGGAGAGCGATAAGTAAGAAAAGTGTTTTATTTCTCTGTAGTCAGCATTTTGACATTTTCGGTTCCCTCGTCTCAAAGTCTTTCAGAATGAGCTTTTGGTTCGATGCCTGAAATAAGGTCTGTGTCTAACACACTAAACGTCATCACGCCGACTAGTCTGCCTTTATCTTAGTGGTGGTGACGTGAGGTGATGTGAGCGAGGAGTAGTTCATAGTAGTAATGTGAATATTGTTACAGCCTACTGGAGAAACAAACTAAAACTAGCTGTGAGGTCCCCACCTTCTTCTTGATGTAGGAGTTGGATGCTCGGAGCAGCCGGTCGATCTCTGGTGCCAGATCTCTGCACATCTCAGCTGAGCCCATACAGGCCAGCGTGCACAGAGCCAGAGACTGCACATACTGGTTGCTGTGGGCTAGGTCACTGGAAAACACACACGCAAGGGAGAAAAACACAGAAAGGACGACGGTGAGAGCAAGAATGTTGGACTGAAATCATACAAGAAACATCCTCCTCTCTGTACACTATCTGACTTACTCAGAACACCAGTCCTTGTTCGTTTACTAGTAGTCTTACAGAATTAAACACATACCACGGAACACTTGCTAACAAGTTATTTAACCCCCTCATTTAGCATTTATAAGATGTATATAAACGGCTTATAATATGCTACTACACTGTATGGTATAGTATGACGATATAAGGCTATTTTAAGTGTTTACTTGTCAACAACTATAACTCCTCACTTGAAGCGTCCATAACTGGTGTAAACAGAGATAATGCATGCTTGATAAATGATTATATCGTATATGATTACAGCTATGTTATACTGTGTTATCCAACGTTCATTATTGGTTATACACCTGCAGCAGATGCTTTATGTGAGGAGTTAAAAATCTTGACATGTTAATGAATGCGTAAAAGTTTCCTTTTTTTGACAACAACTCTATTTTAATGCATTATAAGCCATTTATTAAATGATTATTAAACGAGCGCTCCACCAGCTATTTTGCATTGTACTTCGATAGCAATATAAGATGAACAGTTTTTTAATCAATGCAGCAGAACCAGAGATATCGTCTTTTTTAATTGCATGCACTCTTCTCCCTTGTCAAAACCTGGCACCTACATTACCCACAATGCAACTCAACCACCAATAGTTTGGTTGGAGATTCAGGTGTGTTATGTCAGTAGCTGCTACTGTAGCCTCGAGCTTCTAGCTCAGCGACCTCACTTTTTTTTTTTCATTTTCAAACTTGTAGCCTTTCCGCCACAACAAACGCTGACTCACGTGACATCACTTGAGGCAATTTACAAGACACACTGGGGTTCCCCTTTAATTGTATATGAACGCTAAATACGGAGGTTAAAATAAAACCTTTTCCGAAAATGTAACTACTAGTTATTTTTAAACGTGTTTTCCTTACTTCTTGATGGAGTTGGTGATGAGCAAGCTGGCATCCTGCTTCTCATCCAGCAGCATCATTGCTCCGAGGTATCCCACACGCTTCTCGCTGTAGCGAGGGCTGGCTATCATCCGAACACACTCCATCTAGTAGGAAGAGCAACAACATCCCCTTTAAATGTCAAGTGACTCGAGAGACTGACACAACTGATAACACCGGGGCCGGGGCCAGTGCCGGAGTGGAGGTCAGCTTCAGAGCAGCAGCCCTGAGAGCTGAGAGGGATTTAGTGACCCAGTTTTTTTTTTATTTTGACATGGGTTTACGATGCTGCAGACTTTGCTTGAGGGAATTAACCAGAATTCAAAGTCTGAAAAAAAGCGAGAAGTGCAAGTTTACAGAGCAGTAACATTACTAATATCATCATAGCTTATTATAGTCAGCATGTAATGCCACAATGTGCTGCCTCTCTATGTGTGCCCAGCTCCATCACGCACTCACACATATATAATGTCCGTGTGGGATCACAGCTCAGGACATAGTGGTTGCACACTGGGACTGGTCCACTCAGCGAAGACTTGAGACCCAGACCCTCCAGCTGCGTGATGGTTTCCTCACCCCTGCTGACCCCCCTTAACACAAGCAAACCCATGACGGGCATTAGCGAAAGCCCCTCACCTGACCAAAGTGAGCGGGGTAGCCCAACATGTGCACATAGAGCAGCTTGGCCAGGTTGTGCGATCGCCCCCCGTTGTCCGCTTGTCTGAACTGCGCCCGGATGGCCGCGCACTCCCTCTGGATGACACCTCGCTCCTCACACTGCGTCCTCGCTGACCTGATGGCCCGGATCATCTCCTGCAGGGGTACTGATGGAGACATGGCTGTGTGCGTGCGCGCGTGCGTGTGTGTGAGAGAGTAGATGGGAGGATGTATGTGTGTTGGTATGTGTGCATGTGGTGTCATGGACATATTAAATTACAAAAAATATGTTAGCAGAATAATTAAAACAAACTACTTTACTATGCAGAGTTGCACTGTTCAATTCCACTTCCTGGTACTGAAAAGCCCCCCAGGTGTGTGACGTTACGGTAATGACAAAGCTGTTACTACACTATAATAACTACACTTCATCTTTAGAGCTGTGCTGTCACTACAACACACAACTTAAGCGTGTATTTTTTTTTAAACTGCTCAAACTACTTCAACTACGTTTCAAGTGTGGTAAACTCGACTGTCGCTCCTGGTGACATATTGTTGCACACAGCGTCAGTCACTCCTTACAATCATTGTTCTACCTCTAAATGACTAATTTACGTGGTGAGAATACATTAACACGTATATTTAAGTTAGCATGACGCTCGATGATGCCGGTCAGAGGCTAGCCGAGTGACCGCATAGAGCTAACCTTGCAGATGCTGTCAAGCCTGCTCAGTGAGGGACTGTCGAGCGACAGAGCTAGCGGAGCTAGCATGGCAGTCTGTTCATGTGAACGGCTGCAGCTCCACAATAACAACGTACCTCTACACTGCACGGAGAGTCGCCAGTATTTAAAAAAGTAAACCGGTTCAACCGAACCCCCTCCAATACACGGCAGCAGTCAGTTGGCTGGAATCCCAAATACTGTGTATCCATATAGTGTCAATGGATCCAAAAACATAATCACACGACTTCCTGTCACAACTTTCAAAATAAAACATATTTGATGAATATCGTATTCGGAATGTTATTAGAAATATATCTAGACATTGAAATCAAACAAAAGTGAAGGGATTTGACTGGAGAGGGCATTATACACGATTTGATGTGTCATTCTCAGAAAGAAACTCTGTTAACAGTCCCTTTTCCTACAAGGCATTCAGACATAGCAGGACAAACAGGTGCCAATAACGATGTAGGTAAGTACTAGGGCATTGTAGTGTGTTGTAGCTGCCTCAATGGCATGAGATTACTTGAAAAAAAAACCGCATTGGAAAAGAGCCAGGGTCATTACCAGGGCATCAGAAATATTGAGGTCATGAATGTAAATTCCCCCAGCACAACTTCAGCTGCAAAATGTCTGGCTTGATACAAAAATACTATATACTTTTGTATCCAAATTGTATTAATTTAACTGTTTAAATATGTTACTTCATATCAATTTACCTATACAATGATCTGAAGGCTGCTTTCAATTCTCTTCACTGCTGGGAATAGGACTTTTTTTTACAGCAGACCTGTCATAGTATGAAAATAGGGCTTATTACTACAGTAACTTGGCAAGAACATAAAAAAAAAAAAAAAGAACTAGAGGTTCACTGGCTAGCTTTTCCAGGCCTTTCAACTGCATCACATGGCCTTCATCTGCAGATGGACAGAAGAATTAGGTCTACCAGTGTAGAAAAGTGTTCCAGTACAAATAGTCATTGAAGACTACCTTGGATAAATACATGTGGCAGTCGTCATGCCCAGGTCAAGTAGCATCCTCCTGTAAACATTTATTATATAACTTAAATATATTTAAAGTACACATATCCCAATTATTCCCTTCAAAGTGCAAGTGGCCTTTTGATGAAAAGGTTCCTTACAATTCTTGAAGGGAGGTGAAAAGTGTTCCTAACTAACTTTAACAGAGTAGCTTTTGAATTGCGCTGCTGACACATACTAGTGACAAAAAAAAAATCTGTGACAACAAATCACCAAGTAGAACACAGACTGGATTGACTGGACAGACTGGCAAAATGTGCAAATGCCCCGGACAGCCTGAGGCTTACTGCGTGTCAGTAGTTTTACCCTGCATTTGGAAATTGTTTGGTTGTGGTGGTTCTAGACATAAATGTTACCCAACTCTCACATGTAGTCCTTTATGTGTGCTGTTGTGAGCCTTCGTAATTATATAAACATAAGCCATTAAATATGTGACCTAGGCTGCATGAATTAGAAGTTCTGGCTTGAACCAGCCAAAACGTCTAATCCAGTGCAGGGCCGAGATCCTTCTTGTGGCACTGGCACCTCAGTGGCACTCTGTCGCACTCTGCGGCACTCCGCGGCAGTCTGTGGCACTTCAGCGGCAAGCGTCAACTGTGGCAGGCGAGCGGTACTAGTTCGGCACCCGTCAAGAAGCGGCGGAGCTGAGGGGGCGGAGCCACATTTCCTGAGAACACACGTTGTTACAACAGGTCAGCTTCCATAAATCAGTTTTATGATTTTAGTTGAGTCACCGGAGCCACCCGTTCTCTGTATGCATCCTTAGAGTAAGTATGTTGTACTTTTTTGTTTCTCATTCATTTTATTTAAGTATGATTTTGCTGGTTTTGCAACAAAAGGGAAAATAATACTCTTTCCAAATTATTACTTTTACAGTCATTTACAACAATCAGCTAAAATAATGAAAATAAATCATCCGTTTTATTATCATTTAAAAGTATATATATATAAAAAAAAAATTAAATTTAAAATTAAAACCCATAAAATGTCCAATCCAAAAATATATGTCTGAAAATATCTTCACTCTTCCTCTGCTTATATGTATATGTATGTCAGTAGGTGCCACAAGCTGCCAGAGAGTGCCAGAGAGTGCCGCAGGGTGCCAGAGAGTGCCAGAGAGTGCCATGGCAGAGTTCCAAGACGAAAACCACTGCTGAGCAAAAAGAACATAAAGGCTCGTCTCAGTTTTGCCAGAAAACATCTTGATGATCCCCAAGACTTTTGGGAAAATACTCTGTGGACTGACGAGACAAAAGTTGAACTTTTTGGAAGGTGCATGTCCCATTACATCTGGCGTAAAGGTAGCACGGCATTTCAGAAAAGGAACATCATACCAACAGTAAAATATGGTGGTGGTAGTGTGATGGTCTGGGGCTGTTTTGCTGCTTCAGGACCTGGAAGACTTGCTGTGGTAAATGGAACCATGAATTCTGCTGTCTACCAAAAAATCCTGAAGGAGAATGTCCGGCCATCTGTTCGTGACCTCAAGCTGAAGCGCACTTGGGTTCTGCAGTAGGACAATGATTCAAAACACACCAGCAAGTCCACCTCTGAATGGCTTAAGAAAAACAAAATGAAGACTTTGGAGTGGCCTAGTCAAAGTCCCGACCTGAATCCAATTGAGATGCTGTGGCATGACCTTAAAAAGGCGGTTCATGCTCGAAAACCCTCCAATGTGGCTGAATTACAACAATTCTGCAAAGATGAGTGGGCCAAAATTCCTCTACAGCGCTGTAAAAGACTCATTGCCAGTTATCGCAAACGCTCGATTGCAGTTGTTGCTGCTAAGGGTGGCCCAACCAGTTATTAGGTTTAGGGGGCAATCACTTTTTCACACAGGGCCATGTAGGTTTGGATTTTTTTTCCCCCTTAATAATAAAAACCTTCATTTAAAAAATGCATTTTGTGTTTACTTGTGTTATCTTTGTCTAATATTTAAATTTGTTTGATGATCTGAAACATTTAAGTGTGACAAACATGCAAACAAATAAGAAATCAGGAAGGGGGCAAACACTTTCACACAACTGTATATCTTCTCATCTTGGCCTTTTAACTTCTTCTGTTTCACCAGTCAATTCAGGATTTAAGTGTGACAATTAAATCAATGAAGTAGGTAAATTAGGCTTAGTGTTTGAAAAGAATGAACCAAACGTCTCTTTATTTTTCAATTGTCATTATTTATTGCTTCATGAACTACACATGCTCACTTTTCTATTACATAAAAATAACAAGTAAATACATGATGTATACAACTAGGTTGCAAATTAACCATCAACATCAAATATCAGATGAAATAACCTGCATTAAATACATCTGTATCAATAACACAATTAACAAAGACGCAGGTAAATATAACAAATCTATGGTTTAAATACACGTATACTGCCATCTAGTGGTAGAAATGGTAAACACTCTTAATCTGCGTCTCCTTTTGCAGGCTATGCTCTGCGTTCACTCAAACAGCAGCACAATACGGTGGAAGAATAAATAGCAACAACTCTGCACACACAATGACTTTGATTAAACTATATTACAAACTGTATTGCAACAAACAATCCACAGATTAATCGAAAACTTGATTCTTGCTGTGTACATGGATAAATTAATATTAAATCGCATGTAGTCAACTATTGTTAACATACTCCCATCAGCCCACGTTTACTTATTCATATTTATTTATTTTTCTTCCAGTGTTACCCTGGTTACCATTTTCTTGCATACGATCATTCTATTACCTTCACTATTATTTTGACATATTCTCACTTCCGGACTACCTGTTTTACTTTGCGTTGCTCTTCAAAAGAAAAAAACAAATAAACCATAAAACAGACTATCAAAACATACACGGACCAGGGGGGAACTCTGGCACCCTCTGGCAGCTTGTGGCACCTACTGACATACATATTTTTGGATTGGACATTTTATAGGTTTTAATTTTTATATATATATACACACACACTTTTAAATGATAATAAAACGGATAATTCATTATTTTAGCCGATTGTTGTAAATGACTATAAAAGTAATAATTTGGAAAGAGTATTATTTTCCCTTTTGTTGCAAAACCAGCAAATCATACTTAAATAAAATGAATGAGAAACAAAAAAGTACAACGTACTTACTCTAAGGATGCATACAGAGAACGGGTGGCTCCGGTGACTCAACTAAAATCATAAAACTGATTTACGGAAGCTGACCTGTTGTAACAACGTGTGTTCTCAGGAAATGTCTCAGGAAATGTGGCTCCGCCGCTTCTTGACGGGTGCCGAACTAGTACCGCTCGCCTGCCACAGCTGACGCTTGCCGCTGAAGTGCCACAGACTGCCGCAGAGGTGCCGCAGAGGTGCCGCAAGAAGGATCTCGCTGTCTCTCCTAATCCATGCGGCGTTATTTGGCAGTCAGGAGTTTCAGGCTTTTATTTTGAAAGCAAACTCATCTACTTTCTGGTCTTATTGAGGGCAGTGAAGCCCTGACCCAGCTCGCTCGTCACAGCCGCCCATCACTTCCGCAATTCGGTCGCTCATTGTGCGTGGACTCCGCCCCTTCTACATCAGCTGTTCCAACAGGTGGATAAAACATTGAGGTGCAGCAGGCAGCACCTTACCAATACCACTAAGCCTACACACAACAATGCAACACTTAGGGCCACTAAGCATCCCAGTATCATCTTAACAGAAGTACCACACACACACACACACATCTGGTGAAAAAAAAAAAAAAAATACCAAACAATAGTCACAAGATGTTTTAAAATGTAGGTATATACTCATATGCATGTTGTAAACTTGCTTTACCATGGACTGTCTGTCTTTTAATAAATAATGTTAATATAGCTTTTGGTATTTTTTAGGAAAAGCTGCATTAATTCATATTCAGCAAATATATCTTAAGGGGAAAAATGATAGTCAGAAAACTCAACAGTGATGATCAGAACTAGAAATCTATGTGCTAGGAAAACCAAACACTTGCTCTCTAAAGCCAACTCCGCCTCTATGGATTCAAAGGAGAACATGTTGAATGAATTATTAATACAATGGGGCACGAGTCCAATGAGAATTTAAAAAAAAAAAAAAAAATACATGAAACCATCTGGTAAATTTCATTTTAGTGTTACTATAGTCAGGTGAGAATATAAATACAGAGCTTGAACAATACATACAACTTGCATATTAAAATATTTCTCCAGACTCAGACAGACAAGAGGACAAAGTTCTCAATTCCAACATGTGAACAGAACAGACCTGTGCGTCATCATTTCAGTGTTTCATAAGTTTAAATTAAGTGACATTTCATCTCAAACATCTGTTCCTGGACCACATACTGGAATGGTGGAGAGCAATTAAGGCTGGTCACCATAGAGCAACAGAGTCCAGTGTTAAACAACAAGTGAATATATATGCTAATCTTTGAGGGTCTTCCCGAAGTGCCTTTGTATTTTGTGCCAAAAGTGTGACACATTGAACATGTGATAAACAAACGCTGACAATCAGCCGTCGTCATCATCATCGTGGTTTTGAGGCTCCACGCTCTGCACCATGACCGGATAGACCACCACACAGAGCTTTTGGCACAGATGAGTAATTTTACCTGGATGCAGTTGGGATGAGAAAAAAAAGCAAAAAAAAACAAACATATTTGATATTAAGAGTTAATGGTTTATAGAAATTCTTGATTTCAAATACACTCGACCCTTTAATCGTCCTATTGTTATGTACACAGTGGTTTAACTTTGTGATAAATCTTGTAGCTTTATTACACCTATATGATATTTTATTAAAATCTTTGTGAAAAAGACCTTTTAGTTGTATTTAAATTACAAGTGAAGCAGGTTAACCTTTTATGCTGACTAATGTATCTCGTTAACCTCTGCATTTAATAATGAACCACTTTTATTTAAAGACACCAGGATGTTGCCTTACCAATGGTAATATCCCAACACTGTGGCTTGTTTTCCCAGTAGACTCCCAGGAAGTATACTGGGACACCAGTCATCAATATAGCCACACCAGTACCGCAGACGACCGGATCAGAGAAGAAGGACAAGACCAACAGGAAGGCCCAGAACACAAGGTAGATCATTGGCCACATCAGGCTCACCTGGTGGATGAAGAGCAGATATGGTCTTATTATCAAACTAGTATAAATACATGTTCTTTGCCACATAGATACCTTTCTTGATGAGTCAGTGTTTCAAAAGGGTTTGTGAAACTGGATTATTGGTTATGAACGAAGAAGAATTAGATAGAAGTTTGGCCAGAAAGTGATCTCTGTAGTTGCTCTGTCTGTGTCTTTACCTTGATGGGTCGATGCATGTCGGGCGCTCTGTAGCGCAGCACAATCTGCCCGGCGACAGTGATGCCATAGAAGAAGTAGTTGATGAAGCCCACGTAGTTTATGAGGGTGTAAATGTCACTGGTGCACAACATCAGCAGGGTGGAGATCAACTGAACACGGTGAGAGGGGAGGAGACGTTAGCATTTCTGCACAGGATGAGGAGGACACACGAAAGGACAAAAAGTAGATGTGTCGTTTTCCCCCCCCCTCAGGACTCACAGTGAACAGTAAGGCTGGGATGGGAGTGCAGTTTGTGACGTGAATCATGGCCAGCAGACGGGGGAGATGGCCTTCCCTTGCTCCGGCAAAAAACAGCCTGAGCAACAGAACCAGAGAGCCGTTAAGTCCGGAGAGCAGAGCCAGCTGGTGCAGAGACAAACTGCTCAAGTCAAAAGTGCAGGAGGGGAAAAAATGAACCAGAAAAGGAGAACAATGGGCGCAGTACTTTGGGATGGGTTGATCAAGTGGGGTCATCTTAGAGTCAAATATGCTCCGAGGAGTACGATCTTCTATTCAGGCTCCCTCGCCACAATCTGAAATCTAATTTTTGGCCTCAGAGATGAGCCGTTACACTGCCCATGCATTTTATTCCTGTTAAGCTTCTCATTTTCACCCTGCTTCCATCTACAGGTACGGGCTCCAATATCAGCATGAGAACAAGTGACAAAAACAAACAGAAAACAAGCATAGAAGCTGCAATAAGATGAAATGGACAGGAGGGGACAAACTGACCGAGACGACGTGAAGAGGGAGCCATTGACGCCCCCGAAGGTGGAGAGCGCCACAGAGATGGGCATGATCCACGACAACACTCCTAGCAATTTCTCTCCAAATGTCTTATGAGGAGCAGACAGAGAGAACAAGTAGTACACACTTGATACGTCTGACTAATCGAGACGTATCAAGTAGTTATGCTACAATGTGGCGCATGCGTCAGATTAATGGGGTTACTTTTAATGCAACTACTCTATGTCAAAGTGAGTACAAAGTCTGATCTGCTTCTAGCTACATTCAGATTGGACTTAACATGGTTCTGTTTCCTCACCACTGCCACAGCATTGGAGGCCAGCAGCTCCTGGGGGCTCATGACTGTGACGAAGGCCACGTTGGTGGCCACGTAAACGAAGGTGACCAGGGGGATGGAGATGAAGATCGCACGTGGCAGATTCCTGAGAGGGTGGAAGACGATGTTTACGGTACATTAACCATTTTCTGTGACTGAAGTTTAATGTTACCTTAGAGAAACGCAACTGACCTTTAATTAAACAAGTGAAACATTTGGATTCCTATTCATCCTGCTTGGATTGCATTGATAATACAGGTGTACCTAATAAAGTGGCCACAGAGCAACATTTATTTTTATGTACAAGTGTGTGTGATGCATTTGGTACCGATAACGAGTGATCATTTGCATCTTCCAAGATTTAGAACTGAAAATTTTCATTAAATTCAATCGGAAAATCGGAAGCAAATTGTGTTGCAAAACGATGGCACTTATCATGCGGCGGAGATTTCCACAATCATCCCCTCTAACAAATGTTTAATTCAAGCTGAACGCTTATTTGATGGACCAAACTGCTGTGTACATTGTGGCCTTCTCCTGTGTGTTGCGCAATGCATTTCATAACTTTTTTTTCTGCCTTCATTTACAAATTCTTATGTATTGTGAGAGGTCTTCATAAAACCATGTTTTGATTTTTATGTCAATATTAAAATTCCCTTTTTAATAGTTTAACGAATGATGGTTTTCTGCGTTTCGCTGCTTGTGCAGACGTTACCTGTACGGGTCGACCAGCTCCTCTGTGACGTAGTTGAGGAAGTTCCAGCCTCCGTAAGCAAAGGAGCCTTGTAGGAAGGACAGCGCCATCTGACCGGTGTCGTACTCTCGTAAGGTCTCAAAGGCGTGAACCGGCTCCAACCAGTAATAGTGACCTGTGAACCAAAAAGCAAACATCGGGCTTAACTGAAGTTCATCTTGACGCGAGCTGGTTCTTCACTTCCACAACCCGAGCAGCAGAGGTCGCCAGACACAACACACGATGCTTTTAAAAAAAGGTCTCCGTTACGATCCTTCCATGTTCTACACAGTTCATTACTGCCTTTTTGATTACGGATGCAGGGGTCTGATGTGTTAACTTAACATAGAAATCTACAGATACCCTGTGTAAGTCTACTCCTATACATCATCTTAGTGGTGGTGACCATCAATCCCTATTTTTTAACAGTTTTAGAATTCAGCCACTAAATAATATTTTATCATATCGAGCAATAACCACCTCCTGCATCTCCGGCTTCCATGTCTCACACACAGTGGGATATGAGGGGGCTAGGTCACATGAGTGTGTGTGTGTGTGTTTTATGAGTGGGATGAAGAGCTAATCCCTCCTTCACATTATAATCATAAATCCCGTGGGAAGCACAAGGGAACTATATTGTGATGTGGCTGAGGCGTTTTAGCATCATACCTTAAGACAGGGGCTTTCTAGTAAAGGGTCAGGAAATGATTAAAACTACATATTTATTGTGAAATACTAGACATGTTTCCCTATTCAGACCTCTAAATACTATTCAGGTGAAACACAGCTGGGGAAACATTGCAGACATTATGAAGTTGACCCTGCTTCACTTTCAAAAGGCTAAAAGCACAAATGATACGGAACCACTGTCATAAGAGAGACACGGACAGACAGAAACTAAAGGAATGGTCTCAGTGAAAGAGACATGATGCTACCTTTGGATATTTGGACGACGCCCAGGATTATGATGAGACCTAAGGCCGAGAGCTTGCCAATCGTGAAGATATCTTGGACGTACATGGCCCAGCGCACACTGGAGCAGTTCACCCACGTCAGCAACACTACAGGACAGCAAGACAAAAGTTAGAATGAGGTCCGTCCCATTTTACGAACAAATAATACGGAGCCTTCTACACAATGTGGCATCTACAATGTGTTTTGATGTTTTTCATGGTGTTTGAATAGAAACAACCCTGGTTTTCTAATGAAAAATAAGATGTACCAGATGTGTGGAGCTGCAATAGAAACGGGTAAATGTATAATACAGAATGCTGCTTTACATCTTAAGACATTAAATTAATTTAAAAGAAAATAAAGGTTTTATGTACCTTAAAGTCATAACACTTAAAATATAGGATCTAATTATTAGTCAAATCAGTTAAAGTGCATAGCTGCATCACACGCCCATCATGTGGGGATTAGTTTTCCCCTCCATGTTAAATAAATTAAATTATGATTGGTAAAATGTCTTGAGGCGCAAAAAGAAATGCGTCCGATTCAAGACATTTCTTCTCACAACAAGGTGGCAACAAAGCCAGTATTTGTATATCTGACAATTTGAGTGAAACTAGTCCAATCGTTGCTTGGCATAAGTGTGACTATATATATATATATACATACATACACACACACACACACACACACACACACACACACACACACATCTAAATAAAAGCCTGCCTCAGTAGAAAAAAGAAAACACCTGCAGATAAGCATCTGTATGACCAATCTTCAGAACATCAGTGTTTCGATGCAACATGCGTTTCCCAGGGTTTGCTTGATCACCTGTACACAGTACGGTGGACTCCAGCACTCAAGTATCTCTTCCATGAAGTTCGTTGTACAATATGTCACTCACAAGTTCCTGAAGTCTACAGCCATGCTAGCAGCTCTGAGAGGCGGTGCTTAGCATTTAGCTCAAAGCACCACCGTGCCCAACACCTCTTAGTTTAACGTGTTAGCATGCTAACTCATGCAAAATGTGATGTTAATACTGCATAGTTGTATTTTTAAATATTTTCATCCTGACTAGGGTTCAATGATGAATGAAGATTGCCATCAATGCAGTACAGAAAGATATCCTGACTTTAAGTCCTCCGTATGTCTCAAGCTGCTACACTGCACAGATTACAACGCGTGCATTATTAATGCAGCGTCTTTTATTGCACGCTACATCGATATCCAGTTTGCAATGCAGGCTTTTTGATCAAAACTTTTATAGAGGTGGCAATCAAGCAAAGATTACTCAATGATCTCACTTGAGTTATTTTCCCCCATGCACACAAAGCTCCTCTAACAAAGGCTTTAAAAAGTCTTTATAAAATCAAATAAAGTCATGCCTGAAATTAATTCCTCAAAGTGGGCTTTGAATGCCGCATCACGTTCTGCATCCGTTAATGCACTAGCCTCAAACGACAGCAATTTCATCTGGGGTTTAATTTCGGGACTCACGCAGGCAGACAGCAGCCAGCAGGCGCATGCCACTCTCTGGGGGGAGGCAGGAGGGGTAGAGGGGCTGCAGGATGTAGTTTGAGAAGGTGAGAGCAATCACAGCCTGGTTAGTGGGGGCGATCACCAGCACTGCGGTCCACAGACGCAGAAACCTGAGGGACAAAAACAGCAGGAGGTGGATGAGACGTAGCAACAGTGTGCATCACACACGCACAACTGTGTGTGAGCATGCTAGCCCTCGTTAGCACAAAATGAAGGATATCGGCTAAGTGCGTTATAGAACTGCACTGGGGCACTGTTGTTGAAGACAAGATAAATGAGTGCAACTGGGTCAGTGACATTCTGGGATCACAACACTTAACACATTTGGAGAGGCTTTCATTATATGGTGAACATTGTTGTGGAGGGAAAGGGGGCGGGGCCTACTCAACATTCTCATTAATTACAAAAGGCTTGCTGCTACAACAACCTTGCATTATAATTTTTCCAGACAGCATTTACGCATCATTGGAGCAAAACTTTATAAATACAGGAATCAAGGTACAGCAAACATGCGTTGAAGTCTCTTTGTGTCCAATATTAATATTATCTAATACATCCCAATGAATGCTAGATGCTGCTCCTTCAAATCCTTAACATAAGGGCTTCAGACAAATATTTGTTCTCACCCAGCCAGTCCTCCAAAGATGTCATTGACATACGAGTAGTCTCCCCCCGACTTGGGGATGGTCACCCCCAACTCCGCATAGCAGAGAGCACCGATGGCTGTGATGATTCCAGTGGTAACCCACACAATGAGGGACAAACCCACTGAGCCAGCATTCTCCAGGACCCCCTTAGGACTCACAAAAATCCCTGATCCAATGATGTTGCCTGAGAGAGTTTAAAAAAAAAAAAAAAAAAAAACAGACAGAGGACAGATTAAGAATACAAATTAGAAGCAGTTGCTGGATGCTCTGGCATTTCAATGCTATTTTAAATATGCAAAAATAAATACTGTGAATGCAATGAGATCAGTCACAAATCTTCTGTATAAAAAGCATAACGGTGCAGATATTATGTTTATGAACAGTGGGAAGCATGAAAACAAGCATAAAGCCACTAAAACAGATCTCAGGCTATAAAGGGAAAGATTTAATTTATTGTCACATGACGCCCTGCGATACGTTTTTTTCTTCCAGTACAGAATTAACCTGCGCGCCGAGTTGGTTTTATATAAAATTATTCTCACCTATGGACCTCTCCAAGTGAATATTCTGTGCATGGCCCGCACTACCGGCTCGTAGATTTGTTCCACACTGGGCTATGATGCATTTTTGGAGCAGCCCGATCCTGCGTGTGGACTGGCCAATCAGGTATCCAATGTTTCCCATCCCACAAGCCCACTGCTGGTCAGCCCATGTGGGGAAAACTGTGCTCGTTTGGGATCAATGATGATATGGACAATTTCAAAAACGAGCAGTCGAGTCGTATTTTCTATTTTACTTTTGTCATCTGAATGTCTGTTACCGTCTACGAGAGAGACAATTAGCCTCTTTGTAGTTGCTAATGTTTTTTCTGAATTATATTTACGTTGCCTTTGTTTTAGAGGAGAATATGTGCGACTTTTAACACCAGAGGAGATGAATGAGTTTATATCCCCTGTGTGGCTCCTAGAACCAAACACACAAATCCAAACAGTACATAATATTGTTAAAAACATCCACTGGGAAATTTTCAGTGGCTGGGAAAAGCAGAGCAGACGATTGCAGTATGCTTACACGGCACCGCCTAACCTGATTTATTTCAAAGAAGGTATTTGCCATCTTGTGCAGTTTAAATTAAATGAGGTAGATGATTGATGGGCTTTTACACTCATTTATCCATAATAATCAATATATTATTACGAGGCCACAGCTGCTTCTTGTCAACGGTACAGCGACCGCATGCTTAAGGCGGTGATGGAAAATGCAGTTGGTAGACACCATCATTAGTGGGATTGCTTTTCATTGACGTTTGTTTGGGGGGGGGGGGTTCTCTGCATGTATGCAGGGACTGAGCAGGTTTCCTGGCAGTTAACGGTTCCCTGGAAACATGTGAGGAGCGTACCGAGGATGCCCATCCCTCATGATCACGACAGAGAGAGTGATGGAGGGAGAGATTACAGTCAGTGAGGCCCAACCACTTCAGTACAAAGTGGCATGTTTTAAGTCAGTGTATCTTGATTCAGCTACATTTTCTTTACACGTGTAAAGGAGGACGGTTCACCGACATCCTGAAAATGCTTTCAAAATATGCTTAGTGAGAAAATGTTCACAAATTGGACAAAATTATTCCAAATGAGTGATTTCTCACACAAAACAAGGTGTAATGAATCCCAAGTGAAACTAAATTCATGATTGTTTTATGCAGTACAATAACTTGTTGAATAACTTGTTTGTTCCACTCAGCCATTGCCCATTATTAAAGCCCAAAAAATAATGACAATGAAGCATGACAGTATTGCTGACGGCCAATCCACACAGTCAAGTCAGCCATAAAAGAGATTATTTTTGTCACTTAAAACCTGATGAGAGCTTCACTGCCTTTATTTTCACTTACCAACAGTTCACGAGTGGAAGGAAACACCACATGTTCGTTCTTACCGATTATAATGGCGCAGGCGCTGACTAGGCCGATCTCTTTCCTCAGAGCCACCTTGGAGCTTAATCCTGCATCCCTCCCCGCACCCGACTGGAGGCCTGGGCCCTCCGAGTGACTGGCCCCGCTGCTGCTGCTGCCGCCGCCGCTCGGACCCTCGGGCATCCTCAAGTCTTTTCCAACGACACTCCCTCTTCTGTGGCCAGCGCCTCCCTACGAAGCCTGCCAATACACAAATTAAATATGAAGGCAGAATTTCTTTTTTTGTTTTTTTTTAAGTGAACTCCATTTCAACTCAATTATATTTCCCAGACACAGTTGTTGAATACTTTCCCGCCACTTTCCTACAGAACCATTTGATGTAAAAAATAAATACTGATAGTGTTTGTCTCCATCTTTAGTTGGCTGCAGTAGGCTCGTGCTCGTCCTAGCATTATTAATGAAGAGTGCAGCACTCTGTCTGGAGGGTTTACTAGTGACCACAAACTTGAGTTTTTTAAAGCAAAATGACGCACGTCACGTCACATTACAAACCGGTAAATGTTGAAATACTGAGGTTGAAATTCGCCGGTTAAACACGTCTCGCGAATAGCTACCAATAAAAGTGTGTTTCCCGTGTAACCAACAAGACGGTTGGAATTAGCAATTAACCCATCAGCACTAACCTCGTGCTCTTTGTTTTGCTGTGTAACACCTCAAGAAACAGCTAATAAAGTGAAGACCCACCTGTTCGGCAGCTGCTGTGACTTGAACCCCCCTGAAAGCGGCCTGTTAGGTGACGAACTTCATGTTGGGCATTCGTCCTGTCGGCTATCCGAGATAACAAAAGACACCCAGCTGACAATTAATTAGAAAAATTAAGTTATTTTTAACCAATCAGCGCAGCCCAAATTGTCAAAACGTCTCACGCCCCGCCCTCTCTAGCAATAAGGACCCAGTGCTCCCTTTTCCCCAATGACATAATACACAACCTAAAGGTACACTTACAGTTTATCCTTACAGCAAAGTTGCCTGAATAGAACTATGAAAAACTAAATTTGGATATAGGACTTGCCTTACATATATATATATATCCATTTATTGCATATTTCAAGTGACGGTGAAGGAATATCTCCACAAACACAATATGTATGATTGACATTGCCCTTAGTTGCACAAATGGTCATTTAACAAGACAAGCACCAGTTACCAAAAGTAGGTGGTTATACAGTTGATGGGGAACTTGTAAGTGTAAGCTTATCAACTTACTTATAGTCATACTTGCCTACATAAAATAGTTACATATAGTGTATGATCTCATATGGATAAGTCTACTGTCTGTTTTAATTATTAACACGTCAATCGACCTTTGACCCTGCTTGTTTGTCTGCAGGCTCCAGAAATGCTTAGCTGTGATTGAAGAGCATATTTAGTAGCTTTTGTAGTCTCTCCGAGGGTTAAATTGAACTCGACAGTTGCATCGATGCAGAAAAACACTTGCACACTGCACAACTGTGAGGTTCAGAGCCGATGACTACGCTTTGTTACATCCGACAGGTCTGTATATGCCTGAACATCTGCTAATGAAGTACAAGGCGTCAGCAAATAAAAAAATTAGAGCATACACGCTCTACACACATTAGGTCAGGGCGAGCCATCAATCTATTGATTTCTTGTGGGCCAGCAGATTGTCCTCCGAGGGTGACATCTACTGGACAACAAAATATCCTTGCTGCTTAGCCTGTCATCTCATAATAAACTAAAGCACTGCTTCTGTTATCATTCTAAAATAATAGACATTTACAATAAGTTGTTATGATCCCAACAACTTGCAGAGCGTAGTGGTACCAAACAAAAGCTCAGAGCCCAGGGAGAACATTACAGAGTTGTTTTTATTGACATGGTTCAAACACACAAACAAAATAAAGGTAATAAGAGACAGCCCCCCCCCCCCCCCCAAATAATATGGTATGTGACCTGAATGGCAAGACCTTCCTCTGACCCCCTTGTGTTGAGGAGGAGGGTATGGAATGTGTGTTTGTGTTTGATAAGGCAAAAGGTTCTGTTGAGTTGAGTGTGGATGTCGGGGGACTTAAAATAAACCAGTGACGATGCGTTTGACCTAATCTGAATGAGCCCATCTCACAGCAATAATACAATCTGTGTACAGGTGATAGTCCGTGCCCGCTTGAACGGACTTCTCAAAAACACAGGCGGAAATATCTTGTTTATCCAATCAACTCTTTTTTTATATTTGTCCGCTCAAACGTTCCAAACACTGGTAACTTTAAAACCCGGACTGAACTTTTAGCGGTTTTGCACCACGAGTCCAGGTTTTAACTGTGTATATAAAAAAAAAGAGCTGGGACACCTCCACTTAAACTGCCATTAACTCTTACAGAAACATGTGTGTGTGCTGATGTGTCGTCATCACAGGCCGATGGTGTAGGAGCGTCCTGCCGGATTGTGGATGGCGGAGCAGGAGGGCTCGGTCACGGCCCATTCATACCACACCTTCTTCCCATTGTTGCAGCGCCAGAACCGCACCGTGATGTCCTCATCCCGGGATATGGCGATGGGTTGCTATCGGGAGGAAGAATTCGAGGATTGATATGCGAATGCAAACGGCAAGTAGTTCAATTTCGAAGATTTTATCTGTGCGACTCACTTTGAGGGGGAAGAGGATGGGGAACCAGGAGAACATTCCAGGTGAATGCGTGGCTGGTTTTATACCTGCAGCAAACAAACACACAATATAAACATCAACATTTAGATCTAATCACGACATTACTTCCGTCTTAATAAAGGTGACGTACTGAGAGTGACATCTTTGTACAGCGTGGTCTCAAAGTAGCCAGCGAAACCATGCAGCACGGAGTTACAACCCACTGAGAATCGGAGGCACTGATACCGGTTATTGTCCATATCTGACAGAAGAAGCAAAGAGCGGTCAGCATACTCACAACACATCATGTCAAAGTGGAATTTGTTTACCGGGGCGTACCGTACGAGTTCAGTGTGTTTGCGTCTACCTGTTGTGGGGTGTTTGAAGGTGAAGCATGCTTTGGGCTCAGCCAACTGGTGGAAGTTATGTAGGCGCACCACGTAGGGCGTCTCAAAGTGGCACTCCGGGTCCTTGTCGCGCTCCCGGCACCCCCGTACCTCGTTGTAGAGCTTGGAGGAGGACAGGGGAGCAAGGAAGGACGTGTAGGAACAAGGGATGCTCACTCCGTTATCTGAGAACAAGACGTGACCGGACGAGGAAAAGAGAAAGCGCTTTGAGATGCAAGGAAGCATAAAAAAAAGGTAATAGAGGACAAAAAATGCTTTCCTCACGGTTGATGTGGCAAACAACCTGCATTTAATGACTTTGCATCTGCAGCATCTACATTTGTAGTCGATACTTGAAATTAAAAAAAGGGACAAAGATTTCACATTAACCATACAACCCAAGTACCTTTGAGGAATTTCTGCGCTCCATCCAAGCACTCGGGGGAAAGTTCGTTGTCACCAAACGATCCCAGCAGCTCGCTGACGATGATGTCGGCCTTCTCAGGTGCCGCCCAGTCACGCATGTCACATGACACCACTGTCACCTGATCCCCCCATTCCTCAAAGCGCCAGTTCTCCAGCCTGAACATGTATAGAAGTTGTTAAGATTGTTTGCGCAAGGCATCAATTTAACGTTTTCTAGGCTCTATAAATTTGTATGCAACTAGTAGAAGAGCCCGTTGGTACTTTGGATTTTGAGTACTTCTTCTACCACTGCTAATACCCACAATTCCCAACTAGGAAAAGGGTGAAAAGGAGAGCAAAGGGCCCTAAATCACCAAATCCGGTTATGAAAACACACGTTCGGGTTGCTGTGAAACGCACTTCGATGTCATTTTCCTCGCCGTTGGATATTCAAAGTGTATAACTATTGAACGTGTCCAAATTGCACCGAATTTGAAAAAAGCACTCCAGTAACACACCCAGCGTGTGTGATGTAGATCGGAGGAGCGATTCATGATTTATGCGAATAACACACATAAAGACAGACGCCTTGATTTATAGTGAGATAAGACAGGACTTATCCTTATGGTCAGATGATGAAAGTTAAACTGCACAGATATAAGCTTAGACATACTGTATATTCCACTCACGTGATTACAGCGTTGGGATTTTTCTCCACAGCGTACACCTTCAGCTTCCTGTCTGCCTGTCTGGCAGCGCGCAGGGACGCATTGACCAGGGGACCCCGACCTGCTCCCAACACCATCAACACCCTGTGACAATGAGACACCATCATCATCATTTCTGAGGAGACTGCAAGCGACGGCTCGACCGAGTTTGTCAGATCAGCCTCTCTATTAGAGCAACTAACTTAGTTATGTTAAAGATGGGCTTTAAATTCAAGACATTTGAAATCATGGCTAAAAGCAAACCAATCATGTTCCCGTCACGCATGAACGCTAACACCTGATGTGTCTTAAAGTTGTGAAATGTTGTGGGTGTTGTGCTGCCATAAATATGTTGTTCTCGTATCGTGAATATGTACAGTCTTGTAATTGTGTTTTGTACTATGGCGTTCATTTTCTTAACAGCGATGTTATTCTCTGTTTACTGCCCAGGAACTACAGGTGTAAATTAGCTTATAGGGAAATCTGGAATTACTAAGAAGCTGTGCACCGTCCCTGTCAAATAAATAACAATCATTTCCTCAAGTATGTTACCCTGTTCAGCTACTAAAGGTTCTACAGAGCTCTATCGAGAGGAGAGTGTGTTGGTTGCAAACGTTTAATGTGGGTACAGATACTCACTGGACGCTTGTGTCTTTCTGCTCCTCTGGAACTCTGTCAAGTAGACATTTATACACAGCCTGTAGACACAAGGACAAAGCAGGTGGATCAACATGTCGATGTGTGTGAATGCAGCACAAGTGGCAATCAGTCCTGTCCGTACAAGCTCTCCCTTCAGTTACAGACGCACACAGACAGCTAATTAAATATTCGACACGAAAGCTCAGAGTAAGAACGGGTAAGGTAGCTACTATAATACATAGATAAATATATATACTGTGTACAAATTCACAAGATCTGCCTAGGAGAGGTCTGATTGGAATGGCTGACTTAAGGGTTCGATGGTCTTACCTGCTGGTACTGTGAATATTTAATAGGATCCTTTTCAAACACTTCGTATGTCTGAGACTCCAGGTTGTCCATGAGTGGCTGAAGGAAGGAGGGAAAATAATAGCATTAGTCTTCATCGCTAACATTTCTTCTCTGGATATGTGAAAGCCGAGGAGCACTTCCTTACCTGGAGGGGAGACTGCAGGTAGTCCTCGTAGCCCTTGGCAAAGAGCTCGTAGGAATTGGGTGAGGGCCGGTTCTGGTTGAGGTATTCCAGGTACTGCAGGTAGGACCGGAAGTCCTTCTCAGTGTGGCGACTGGTGCCTGTGAAGACGAACTGGGCCTCCAACTACGAAAAGATTGATTTGTTTTCATTCAAAGCGACACTTCCTCATTTGGCTGGTTTTGTCATTTCAGTTGAAGCTGTGGAATCGTACCTTGAAAAGACTGAAGATTATCTGCTGATGGGCTTTGGACAGAACAGGGAAGCCCTTCTTATTGGTTAGGAAGATGCTGGTGGGAAGTATGGCTGCTTTGATAGGCTCCCCGAGCCACTTATCAATCACCGCGTCTGACGGCATGTCTGCTCCGACATCAATAGCTTCAGGAATACAAAAAAAAGAAAGAGAAAAGCACATTTTCAGTAGCAGACACAACCATAATTATTTCTTCTTAATGCAGTGACTTTGCCCCAGGCTGGTGCTTCACAGTGTGCTCTCTCTCTCTCACCGAGACAGATCCTCTTGTTGTAGTCACAAAGGGTTCTAAATGAGTGCCACCTAAAGGAACGAGAGGGAAGTAAACAAAATGAGTTACGCTTTTAAAAGGAAATCAATGGCAGCTGTTATAGCATGCAGACTGCACTCGACTGCTCGGGAAGTGGACTAACCAGCTCCAGGTCTTCTCATCGACACTCGCGTCATCGATGCAAGGGCCCGGCTCGTTCTCGATCAGATCTTCCCGCGTGTCCTCAGACGCCATCAACGGGACACGTACCCAGAACTGATCCGAGGGGGGGGGGCAAGGGGACAACAAGTTAGCGGATGAGTCCGTCGGAATTCTCTGCCAGATGAAAAGCAATCTACGTGTGCATGTGGAGTTTGTTCGTGCTTTGTCTTACATTTGAGGTGTGGTGTCCAGTGTGGATGTGGTTTAGCAGCAGACGGGCTAGATTGGCACAGTTAGGGCCCTTTAGAGGGATCATGAAGACGGGCAGACCCAGGTAGGCGGAGAAGTTCAACTCCTGTGCCAGAGCCTGGACGGAAACAACGGGAAAAAAAGAATGATGAGTGGAGACATATTAATTAACAGGAGACTGGACAAGATAAGATCAAAAACGTCTGCATGTTGGGGAACTTACAGCCTCCGAGTTTCGGCGCTCTGTCTCGATTTCTGAATCTACGTCGATCCATTGAGAGAGCTTCCCAACAATAAGAGTATTCCAATCTAAACAAAGCACAAAGCACAGTTGAAAGAAAAAAAGGGCTTCAACTGATTTATTATTAGTTTCTTATCAAAACTTTGAGTGGGTTCAATTTGACTGGCACCATGTTTTGCAAACAAAGAATCAAAAAAGGCTGAAGCAAGCATTGTATCTATATGCCAACTTTGATACGACAATCCAATTTTTTTTGTTAGTGATGCTACAACAGAGAACAATGGAAAAGGCGACATTATGACGGACAAGACATATTTAACGGTACACTAAAACCAATACACTGACATTTGCATCTCGCGTTATGTCAAACAACCATGATCTCTTATGATGCAATTTTTGCTTTGTTACAAATCTGTATTTGTAGTTTATTGTTTGTTCATATGATTACATTTTCTGGCTTTGTCGTTTTCTAAAATTCTTGAATTGAAACTTAAAAAGTGAATAATAATCCCATTTATTGAACCCCCGTTTCGACCATCATAATCACCCATCATCCATCCATCCATCCATCAGGGGTCTGTTGCGGCAGACAGGGGATCAGTTCTCTTATTTACAGAGAGCATACAATAAAACTACTCCTAACCACCAACATGATTGAAGACAGTAGCAGGACAAACCTCTTCCACACAGCAGCAGGTCTGACCGGGTGTGCGCGCCGGATCGGGATTTAGCGGGCTCCAACTCAAACTCTCTCCTCAGCCTCGAGTGGAACAGGGGCATGCACAGGAAGTCAAACCTGGACACCAGAGAAAGAACGGGTCGCAGTTTAGCATTGATATCATGTATAATGTCAAGTAGAGGTGAAACGCTAAAAATAAACAAACTGTTTAGTTAACTACTCCCCGGCCGGCTCACAAAAACACAAACAGAACAGCCTATACGGGTAAAATAAACACTTTGCATCGGTATCATGCATCGTTGTGATTGGGCACGTGCTGGTTATTCACCGGCTAGCTTAGCGAGCATCACGCACCGACATGATGCTAGCAAACACACGCACGGACTTTTTGCTAGCAAACCAGCGCGTTTCCTCTCGCAAGCTCACTTTTACCAAAACAAAAAGAATTTGCGGAGTGCAGCAGTATCCTCACCCGAGTTTGGCGACCGCAGCTAAAGTGTCGGCTACCTCCGGGACACAGTTCAAATCTCTCCCACAGGATACCCTGCTCCCCGTGCTGCCGGACGCCATGATTTTAGCCGACTGAATGGATTGACTGGGACCGTCTCGTCCCTATGGTTTACGGTGAAACTGACGCCATCTTGGATCTGCAAGGGCCACTGTGCTCATTTGGGTAGCAAGATGACGTAGACCCAAAATGGCGTGGGATGTACTGCAGTTGCATCGTAAAATACCGCGATAACTGCGCATCTAAGGTCTTCAGTTTATGAATACTGAATTCAACAGTTCATGTTTCATATAAAAGTTTTAACGTTATTTTTTTTTAAACATCCTACACAGATATTTAGTTATTTTAAAAATAAATGAAAGTAACAGTCATAAAAATAAAAATCTTTTGTCAGAATAATTTGAAAAAGGTACGAGTATTCAATCAGATGAATTGTTATTCGGTCTAGGCCTACTTTAGTTCTGATAGAACTAAATGATAGATATCTGGGCCATATACTAGAGGCAACTACAATACAGAAAGGAAGTTTGTCAGAAGATCCTGCTGTTGGTGCCTTGCTGTAACAACAAAGTGAAAATGATGAAAAATATGTATGAACTTGCACACAACTAGAAAGATGAGTCTGTCACTCAGTAAAACATTGAGGGTTTGCAGAAAAGGGCTTCTCTGGATATTATTTTCACAGCTGGTTGGATAAAATATCACGTAATGTCAACTCCAATGGTTTTGGACACACGCCTGTGTATGTTTTTGTGCAAGGTGTCATATTTGGGAGGGCTATAAAAGGGTACAAACTTTGGTCTTTCAGACCAGACGTCAGATGAGCGAGTGAGACTTGGTGGCAGCATTCACCATTACAAAACACTTGAGTTTAATGACTTTGTTTTACCAGTTTTCCTAAAGACAGACCTTGGTTTAATCTGTGTTTAATGATTAATTTTTGCCTGCCAAATCTTTTTTTCTGAATTTCTGAACAACAAATCTATCAGTATATCCTTCATCATGGCTTTGGAAGACATTTGTAGCTTCAGAGACACTCCTGTGTATCCCAAGTGGTTTCCTGACTTCGACTTCGAAGATACAGCCGCATGTTTTCACATGACTGACTTATGCAATTTTGGATTGAGGAGACTGGTGAAATCTGGGACAAATAGGGGGATTCAACTGCAGTTCTCCAAGCTAACTTTGCAGAACTCTGCCCCTTTCCACCGCAGGCCTCCGATGCCTTATTCCCCGGCCAACAATTCAGTGACGGTCCGCCGACCCTTCCCTCTGTCTCATGGAACGACGACCTTGGCTTTCATCTTCCAAGGCGGGGTCATTGCAGCTGCAGACACGCGCGCCAGTGCTGGGGGACTTGTTGCCTGTCCAGCCGTTCACAAGATCACCCCGATTCACTCCCATTTAGTGGTCACCTCCTCGGGGAGCGGGGCGGACTGCATGCTGTGGGAGCGAATTCTGGCCAGAGAGATCCGACTCTACCAACTGCGGCACAGACGTTGCCTTTCGATAAGTGGCACCGCCAAGCTCCTGTCGTTCATGCTGCACCCCTTTAAAGGGACTGAATTGTGTGTGGCCCTTACACTGTGTGGCTGGGATAAGGAAGCAGGTAACGCCGACGGTGCAATGAGGTCAGAAGACTCACATTCTGCGTCCCCCAACAAAGGCCCAAAGCTGATATATGTGTGCAGCGATGGAGCCCGACTGCAGGGGGATGTCTTTTCCGTGGGCTCGGGCTCTCCTTATGCTTACGGAGTCCTGGATGGAGGACTGAGGTGGAGTCTGAGTAAAGAAGAGGCCGTCTCCTTGGCAAGGGAAGCGGTGTTCAGAGCCACTCACAGGGACGCCTACTCGGGAAACAGCGTGGACCTCTTCCACATCACAGCCCAGGGTTGGAGCCAAAGAAAGAGAGAGGACCTGAGAGAGGAATATTACAGAGACATGAAGAGGAGGGAGAAGACAGTGGAGGAAAGAAGAAGAGCATCAGAGGGTTCGGGATGAAGCAGAATGTTGGTGGTTCAGGTGGTGGTTGGTGGTAAAGTTTAGAAGTATTGCAAAGTCAGCCACCTTCCTAAGAGTTTGTCAGTTAGCTAGAATACATCTTTACTATAAGTGTTTTCAAACTGTTGTAGCCTTTAGAGTCTTGATTTTGTTTATCAAGGTGTTGGCACAGTTTACACACAGCTTTTTATCTCCCCTTTCATCGCAGCAGCACATCTGCAGTCCGCCCCGAAGACAGGGGGCGCTGTGGGATTTTCTTTTGCCACCTCGACTCGATAAAATGTTTCACCCTCTCCCTGGCGGAAGTTGCTCGCTCATCACACTATTTCAAAGATGGCTCTGGCTAGTGTGTTGAGCAGTGATTGTGCGAATTTTTCTTTTGATAATTGTCAACCTCACGTCTTCGGTTGCGGACCCGAACAGAGCGGCCTGGGGTTTGACGCTACGCCGGGAGACGGTCTCAATTTCTCCGTTAGAAACCCTGTGAGTGGCGGGGACGAGGATGGCGTCGAGAGGAAAATAGAGTTCCTGCATGGAACCACCACCTTAGCATTTAAAGTAAGTCAATTAAAGCTCAGTAGTAGCTAGCGGCTATTCCTAAACTAACGCATTGTAATAGTTGTCAACATAGGTGTTTGATAAACCTTTCAAACTCCAGACTACGTTCTTGAGAGTTCACATAACGCTACATGTCAACCGTTAGCATGCTAGCATAGCTACAAACCGCGTTCTCATTGGACATGTTCACCTCACGTTAACGTTAGCTTTGTGTCAAACGTTTCTGGCATCAGAAGCAGTTCAGTGATCATAAGCTAGTCATCTCTGTGTGTTTTTGACATTCATGACATTTTAATGTGTACGTGTCTCAAGTTAATACCTTTGAATCTGTCGGCTTTATTTCCACCTGTATGAATGGAAAGAAGACGGATCTGTAGACGACACTTGTGCAGCGTCCACACATGGCTTATGTTTAATAACTTCTCTGCACAATAATATAAGTATGAACTCAATTTGTGATTTACATAATGCTATCATCTAACTGTACAGGTGCTGTCTTTTTTTGCATATTAACAGTTAAATATGATAAAGAACTGTTTTAAAGTATTATAGTCAAGTTGAACAGATTACCTTAAGACAACTGAGGCATTAAAGTAGCCATATGTATGTCTTTATTCTATTTGGCGTTCTTGACAATTTTCTTTCATCCCAAATAAACTATGTAACCATTTAACTGAGCATTAATGGATCTAATTGGTGAAAATTAAAAAAAACGTGGTTCATATTTTCAGTGATGATATGTCCTGGTAGGCTATTTATAGCAGCTATGGTAGGAAGGATTGCATTTTTTTAAATAAGAATTTATTTTTTCACATCCATTATTTGTTCATTTAAGTATGCTATCATACTTTGTGTAAATGTTGTTCATATTATGGCAGATGCTTTGATATCAGATGATCTGAATATTATTTCAGAACCAGTAATATACCACAATAAGAAAAACCCAACAAAAACTTGTGGATAAGTTGTGGACTTGTGGAGTCCGGTAGAAATACCAATCCCAAGAATGAATTCTGGCTACTAACGAGATAATAGTCTGAAATCAGTTCTGCCACAGAACACCATTGTTGTCTGTAAAACTATTAAAAACGCATAAAAGAGCCACACTTTGTTTGGGTGACACATGCTGTCATTACAGTGGAAACGGCCAGCTTGTTCCCCTCTCACTCTGTCAAGCGTGCAGAGCCCTGTAAGTACTGCACCAACTCCCTGCGGCTGCTTTTGGTCTCTTCGGGGATTTGTTGATAAAAAGAAAAGATAAAATAACTCCCAACTTTATCCTTTAATCCCTGAGTGGAAGGGGGCGCAGACATCTTCCTCTGGCTGGCTAAATCTGTTGTCTTCACTGTAGTGCTATACAGCTGTTGTTACTGTCACTTCACTGATGGAGGATTTTAGAGGGAAGAGCAAAGGTCTTCCTTCTTATCCAGCAGCTTTCTGGCAGAGCTGAGCCATATATCTCGTCTCCTCGCACAGTTGTGCAGCAGCAGCACATTTCTGCTTTGTCTAGACAGAAATGGAAGGTAGGGAATAGGTAATTGAACTCTACGCTGATCCATCCGTGTGCATGTTCCCCCTCCTGCCATCATGTGCTCCCATTAATGCGTTTCCCCCCCCTTCCCGCTGTCACCTCTCTCAGTTCCAGCATGGCGTCATCGTAGCAGTGGACTCTCGGGCCACAGCGGGCTCCTACATCGCCTCGCAGACTGTGAAGAAGGTGATCGAGATCAACCCCTACCTGCTGGGTACCATGGCCGGTGGAGCGGCCGACTGCAGCTTCTGGGAGCGCCTGCTGGCCCGCCAGTGCCGCATCTACGAGCTCCGCAACAAGGAGCGCATCTCGGTGGCGGCGGCCTCCAAGCTGCTCGCCAACATGGTGTACCAGTACAAGGGCATGGGACTCAGCATGGGAACCATGGTGTGTGGCTGGGACAAGAGAGGCCCAGGTAAATACAACGGCTGTATACGACACGCACACACATGGCGTCGGGTTATGATCCAAATTAAGATTTCTACTACGTCTGGCACAAAGATGATTATTATGGTTCAGTCTTGAGGAAAGGAGCTGTTTCAATTATTATACAAAAACCCTTTTTAAAGAATATAATTGATTTTTAAAATTGTGTCTAATAAATATCAGACGGCAACATTTTCCCAAAGTGAATATATAATATCCTAGAATTTAAAAAAAAAAAAAATAAATTATTTATTCTGTTTTTGTTGTACTGTTGACAGATAGATGGGGTTTCCTTTTTTGAAGCATTAGTTGCAACTAACGATTAAAAGTTATTTATTGGTCGATCAGAAAAACAGTGCAAAGGGCCATGACAATATGCTACAGCCCAGGGTGATGTCTTCAAATGTCTCGCTTTGTCCAACCAACAGTCCAAAACCAAAAGATTTATATTTTACTTCATAGAAAACAGAGAAAAGCTGCAAAACCTCACATCAAATATTTGCAATTTTTTTGGCTTGAAAAATGACGACATCATTTATAAAGCTATCAAAAGAGCAGATATATTTTCTGACACCTCAATTAATCTAGAAAATCGAATTAATCTAAGATTTGGATTCTGAAAACTACGCAGTATGGATTTATAATTCTTTGCATGTTTTTATATTCGTCAGTTAAAAGTGTCTCACTCTGCTATGACCGGATGTATTTTACTGCTAAAACCAACACGGCAAATTTCTTTGGAAAAGCTGTTGAATTCAGGTCTGAGTGTTGCACTCAAACTTATCAAAGCATACATTAACTGCCCTCTCTCGGCTTGTGATTTCCACTAATTCATTTTGATTCACAGCTTGTGAAGTGAGCTACATAATTCACTCATTTAAATATGGTTTCAGGGGTTTTAGTCATGAAAGAAATTATTAATTGCATTCATT